AAAACATATATAGTTGCATAGTTCCATGTGGTTCTTCTCCCTCGCTGTATTATGGGTTTGCTATGTGGGGAGAAATGTGCTGGTTACGCTCCTGAGACAATCAGCTGATTACTATTATTACATTATATATTAAGACCCTTGATCCTCACCTGACTATGGCTTTGTAAACTTTATCCATGATGTGGTTCACTGTAAAAAATTCACCCGTATATTTACAGTAAAGTACTGGCAGCTGTGGTTCCAGCCCTTTACCGTCATTTTACAGTTTTTAATTTTATGGCTGTGCTGTAATTTCACAAAGCACTGGCAGCAATGGTTCCAGCTATAATTCTACAGTATAAAGTTAGAATATAAATACTGTTTTCTATTTACTCTATTGTCTGATATATTAACATCCCTATATGTAGCATTATGCAGACATTTCAAACAGACTTTTTACTCAATGGAAAAAATAAAGACAAAATTATGTATTAGTACATTGTTTGCCATTTATTTAAAACAGGTAACAGGTTTAAACAATACATTAACAGTATTTAAGGAAAAAAAGTCACAGAAAATACATTTTAAAATTCAATGAGAGGAACCAGTAGGCAAAAACAGAAACCTTACAAAGAGGCAAAAAAAACGAACAAACAAAAAAACTAAAACCAGCCAAAATGTCACATCAGCAACCAGGCCAGAGAGGAAGTCCGGGTCTGAGAGGACATAATCACGAGAACCAATGGGTGGAAAAACGTAGGAAGAGGCAAAAAACAGCCAACACGTCCCACATCAGCTTTTGACACATCTGGTCTGAGAGGAAATCCAGGTCTGAGAGTAAAGAAAATCAAGAAAATCTTAGTGGTAAAATAAAGCACTGGCAAAAAGTGATCACATACTCTGCAAATACTTTTAAAAGAGACATAAAATGATCATGTTAATGTACTTAACTAATCCAGTTAACTAATTCTTTTGACACAAAAACAACACAACAATTGTAAAATTAATTCACAAGACCCCAGTGGATGAATCAATGTCTTCTGAATCTGAAGCCAAACGATAGATGTGCATGTGTAATAAAAATATTAATATTTTTAACTCATTTTATTTTTGTGTAAGAAAAACAAAAATAAAATAAATACTAAATGAACTATAAATCATTACCGATCTACTGTCATAAGAGTGTTCACCAGGGACATGGTGACGTGACAGTGAATTGTGAAGCTTTCTTACCCAATGTTTAGATCTGTTTGGGTAATTATGCAAATTAGCTAATACGTAATTATATTATGCGCCGTTTTTTTTTTTTTTTTTTTTTTTTTTTTTTTTTTGACAGGGACATTGTACATTAATAAAACATTTCTGTAAATGTACCAGAATTAGTCAAGGCTATTTTTCATCCGTAGTCCCTGGACAAGTTGTTACAAGTCAACCTAAAGAAAAAATGATTAAGAATACATAATAGAATTTTTAATAATTACACAATACCATAAAAAGCTATTTAAACAGTTTTGGATCAATTAAAACAATCAAGCAAAATAGAAACAATAATAGGATGGCTAGCAGATATGAGATTCTAATGTTGAGTACTGATTAACCATTTTTTCAATTGAACCCTAAATAAAACATATGTGTCTAGATCTCTTATAGTTGTCGGAATACTATTCCATTCTTGTGCAGCTTTGACAGAAAAGGCAGACTGACTAAATTTACTTCGTCTAAGCGGTATGATACAGTCTTGTCTTAATGCACCTCTTGTAAGGCGATAATCAGTTGTTCTAATACGAACTAACTGACCAAGAGGGGGAGAAGATAAACCATAAATAATTTTATACATCAGGCATATATTGGCATACTTGTTTTCCCAACTTAAGAGTTTATATTTTTTCAGTATTGGACAATGATGAGAATGTACCGATTTCTTATCAAAGGCCTTAAGTGTACGTTTGTATAAGGACTCTAATGGTTTTAGAGTCACTGAACTCGCCTGAGACCAGGTGGTTAAACAGAAAGTCATGTGAGAAATAACCATAGAATTCATAAACATCTTAGCTGCTTCTAATGACATGTTATCTCTAGTAAGCCTAAAATTATATAGATTAAACTTAACCTGCTTACAGACCTTTTTTTCGTGAGCTTTAAATGTAAGTTTAGAGTCAATCAGTATTCCCAGATATTTATATTGCGGCACTACCTGCAGCCTCATCCCTGACACGTACACATCAGGCTCCCTATTAATACTATTAGACTTAGATAAAAACATACATACTGTTTTGAACACATTTAGTTGCAAGCAGTTCTCTTTTAGCCATGACGACACATTAGCCATAGAATCCGTAAGTTCATTTGCAACTTGTGTCAGACTATTACCATGTATATAAACCACTGTATCGTCTGCATACATTTGTATATTAGTGCCAGGGCATGAAAGATGAAAATCATTTATATACCCAAAGAATTCACATTTCTTAACAAATGAGCTAAACCTCTTCTTAGTTAGTTTCCTAGTTACCAAAATCAT